CTTATCCCGCACATTGGCTCGGTGGCACCCATATTGTCTGCTTTTGAGAAGTTGGAATCGGTCGACAACAATATACTTTGAGATGCAACGCCAAAGATCATTACCATATCGGGCGCCCATCTGGGAGGCAAAGGCCTCGTCCGGCCGGGGAACGTCCGCTTGGCAAGCGTCGCGCGGTGCTTCCGTAAATGTGAGCTCTGCTGTTGTTGTCGGTAGGGCGCTGACGCCCTGATTCTTTTCACGTTGTCCTCAATTCCGGTTTTGCCTGTATCGCCAAGAACGCCTTCGGATGACATTCTGTGCCAGATGGTAAGCTGTAGGGTGTAGCACGCAAGCTTTGGGCCATTAACAAGTCTGGCTGCGAACTGAGCAACGTACGCAGTACGCAATGTTCCGACTCGATGGCTGAATTGCAAAGAGAGGCACGCTCGCAAGAAACCAACCAACTAGTGCTGAGTTTACCATGGTAGATGGGATGAAACTCAAGAAAGGAAGACTGTGGGTTTTGCAAATTGGATACCACCGAGTTGCCGTCCAGCCCGCATCTGCTAGGAACACTTGCATATCGTCTCCTTGCCCGTGCATGTGCACCCCACTTTACGACAAAATGAAGTAATGGGCGAGGCAGATCAGGCCTGGACCCGGCCTGTGGAAACCAACCGAGCTCCCCTGGCAATCCGCGAAGAGACACCGGTGATAGCAGGGAATCACCATGACGCGCGGGACAATCTCCTCCTCCGAGGATCCGAGGCGTGGCAGAGTAGCATCCCTTGCAACCCTCATTTATTCTCGACGAAAGCCTTATGAACATCGTCAAAGAGGCCAAACGAAGACGACGTGGTGTGTCCGGTTGTCTCGAACGGGCAGCCTGAGAGAAAGGATATGCCATGATCCCCAGCTGGCCAGAGCGCTGTCGCCATCATTTCCCCAGTCATGCATTGTCAACTTCCAAAAAGGAGATGAGACGAGCTGGGCGAGATGGGAGAGCGCTGCAGACCGTCGGATTGGCTTTCTCCACCTAATAAACTTGTGACAAAAGCTGGCATGTCCAACGCTCTACACTAATCAGTTGGGTTTCCTCACTCTGTGAATCCTGGCGAAACTTCGATCCAATGACCATTGCAATCGATAAGGGATGATCCTGGTCGTCATGCAATCTTCTGGAGAGCGGGAGGGGAAAAGAAGGCCAAAGCCTGGTCTCTTTCCAACCCTCCAATGTCTCGACGCAGCGTCAGCAGGTCAACAACATGTGACAAGTTTTTGTATCCGCCTGCTGCGAATGAGGATGAATTAGTTTGAGATTGGCTACAGAGCCAACGTTCTTTGCTTTCGACAATACCTCACTGCTTTTATGCGTAGCATGCCGAAATGTCGAGCATTCGAAGCCGCCATGGGGTCTGGCATGAATCGTGAAGGCGAAACCAACGGTATGCCCAGAGATTTACGGGTACGCCTATCAGCCACCCATGCCGGCGCTGATCTCCTGTGACGGGCAGAAGCGAGCCACTGTGGCGCCCCCGTTGAAGTCATAATGGTTCGAGGATGTGACATCCAAACATGGTTAGATTAGTGTCGCTCGCGTCTCGTGAGTAGCTGACAGCCCGTTCCAGGTCTCGGTATCTTTCCTGGGATGAAGGACCAAGTGTGCCGTGACGTTCGCAGATGCCAATCCAAATTCCTATCCGTCCGAATTGCCTCCGACATATTTGCAAAAAAAGACCATGGTTGCGACTTCAGCCTCAAGTTGACTTTGGGTGCAGGCAGCGCCGCAACCCAAGTTCGCCCCTATGCGAACATGATGCAATGAGAAGGCTCTGGCTTCTTGTGCGACTTTCGTAAATTCATTGTTCGCTGCGGGTTATGACAGTGTAGTAATCTGTAGTGATGGCCGAGTTGTCGTTGATGAAGATAAGGCTGCTTCGATGAAGCTGTCGGGAAGTGACGGCCGCGGCACGACCCACGTTGGTCGCAGAAACGTCCCCAGGCCTTCGATCGCGAGATGGAGGCAGCCAGGGGTTGTTTCCCCTCACCCCAACGTCGATCTTTTGGGCAAGCTTCGCGGAGGATCGGCACAACCAGAGAGCGGACAGCACACGGCGCCCATCAGTGACAACCGCACATGGCCTAGACCACATGCAAAGCACATGCGTGCCACGTCTATTTGGCTTTGCTCGACGATCTTGTCTTGGGAAGAGCGATGATGGCTTCGGCAGGGCTGGCAAGGCTGTGGAACCGTCGTTAGAGATCCAAGTGACGCTTTTGCCCGAGGGAGGTGGAAGTCTCGGAAAGGTCGCCTTGCTCGATCCCAAGACAGTGAGTGCAGCGCAGCGCGTGGGCGCACAAGGCTCCATCCACCATATCCTGCAACCGTTTCCGCCACCTCCCGATGCCAGTTTTCGACCGAGATGGATGAGTTATCTTGGGTGAATGCGCATGGCTTGTAGGGGGCTAGCTTGAGCGGCTCTTTGTTGGGTCTGGTCCCGGGCATTGGTAACGCCCGTTCAAAAGGCCGGACAGAAAAAGCAGAGAAATCGCAGGCTGGAGGATTAGGCATTGAGCTACAGGGTGAAGACCGTCTGTCAACATGCTCAACCGTGGCGGCTCAGTTGCCTTGAGTAGGTAGCGGTTCCAAACCCTGCCATCTGCAAGGAGCTTTGACCACACATGGTTTTTGAAAGCTCTGCCGGACGAATAGAATAGCCTCCAGAGCGTCCGTCGAGACCAACGAGCTTGTTGGAATGGACGGCTACGAATAGAAAGAAGTGAAGCAGCCACAATCATGCTTAAAAGACAACCTTAGCTAAGTCAGGATATATCGTGGCGGTGGAAGGCGCGGTGACGACGTTGCCCTGTTGAGTGAAGACAAAGAGCGGACCGGGACCGCGCCAAAGCCGGAAAAGGAAAGTGGAAGAAGTCGCGGTGTGCGCTCCGCTCGAGGGGTTCCCGAAATTGAACTTATCCGTAAGGCGAGTAAGGGATTTATATCCGTACTAGGTAAGTCAGGAGCGAGGACATAACACAGATTGCGTACGTCCGTAAGGCACGCAGGTCTGTGAGTTTGATGGATCTGATCCGATGGCGGTGCTTCGTGGCGTCCATGGAATGAATACCTAAGGTACGGAAGTAGAAACCAAATAGAAGGCAACAGGGGAAGTCCGGCCCGTTACGAACGCTGTGCGGTGCGCGCTAGGCCTCAAACGGGGGTGTGTTGAGCAAACGTGGAGGTCCATTGAATAGGAACAACCTGGGAGGACATGGGCAAGTCGAGGCAGCTAGTTCAGGTAATTCAAGAGTCGTGTGCGCGGGACGGGTTTGATGAGGCTCGGTATGGTGAAATGTCATTTTTCACTCGTGTCCCACAGGACCCTGGAAGCACGATGGCGGTGGTGGGCTGGCATGAAATGTTCGTATGTCCCTTTGGGGGAGGGGGAATTGGGCCACAAGAAAAAAAAAAAAAAAACAGCTGGCGTGAGATGGAGGAAGCTGTGAGGCGTGGGATGGGTGGGGTGGGGTGGGGTGGGGTGTGGAGCCGACACTGCAGTGTGCTTTCCCTGTTTCCTCGTCACCGCGTTTCAGATTTGGAGTTGAAGCAGGGACATGCCTGCCCAAGCACCCGGCGGCCGTGCTTTCCCTGGCTTTTCCAGGCGTCCCCGTCCTGTTCTTGGCTGCCCATTCCGACGGGGTGGGTGGACAGGGGTAGGTGGTCTGTAGGGTTCCAAGCAACGTCCAGTGTCGTGGTTCTGAAGAAGGAGCGGGACTTTGAAAACCCCTCCCCTCCCCTCCCCCTCCCCCCTCCCCCCTCGAGTGGCCCCTCCCTCTCTTGGGACTTTGATGCATGGATCTCACAACCACCCTGTGCGTAGCGACCGCCTTAGTCTGCATATGGCAAGGTGCAGATGGATAACGGAACCGCAACTGCCACAACTGCTCAGAGTAGAAAGAGCCGTCTTTGCCCATTGGCTGAAGTTCGATGGAGGCGATCTGGGATCGTCCGGGCACCATCGAATCCCAGCTTGCGAAAAGATTCACCTACCGTCCGTATTTCCTTCGCCTTGTATCACCTGGGCCGACCAAAATAACCTCCCGTGCCTACCTACATACATACCTACCTACTTTGGTGCGTCTAGGCCGTACATGCGGCACAAAGACCTTCTATCCGATGTGCCTCAGCATGTACAAATACTCCGACGACGACACTTGGTGGTTGGTGCTTGACGGTAGGACTGGCGGTTGGTGACCTCGACATTCGTTGCACCACAAAACCCGAATGCAATGACCGTCTTTCTCCGATTCCGGCAAATACGCCGTTGCTGACAACAACCGTGACCAACGAGACGCCAATGATTCGTTTCGCCAGACGCCGACTCCGATCGACAAGGCCCAGAAGTACCCAGCTGACAGCCAACGACAGCCCTCCCGGGTGACAATGAAAGTGGGAGTCGACCAGTCATCAACTGAAAGAACCAGGGGGAGCCCTCCAGTTACCTACCCTACCGAGTGCCATCTGACAACGGCAACCCAACAACGCCTGACAGACCAGCTAGACGGCCCAAATGTCGAGACCTGCGAAGCATTTGAGTGCGACCAGCCTCGTCACACACAACATAACCCTTCTTCACCATCTAGTCATGCGTGCCATTCTTCCGGTCTGGACTCGAGCCACAAATCTCGGTTCATTACCGGACCACCCGACCAGCCGTTTCCTGGCTAGGTATGAAGCGATCGTCTGCGGCAAAGGAAACTAGGACATCGGTAACCTATATGGGGCTTCTTCTTCACGCACTGTCTCTTTGGTGAACCGCGCTCTAAACGCCGGCCATGGTCACTCGGTTCTCGGCGCCTTCCACAACCTTTCCTCTTTCGGTCCTGTGCCGCCTACGCGGGCTTCAACTGCCTCAATACTTGGCGCCAGCTTTCTACATACTTGCTGTTATCCAACACACAGACGTTGGGACTGGCTGGCAGAGGCTCGGCTTTCTACATACATGCCTGACGTCGCCATGTCTCATCTTGTTCCGGTCAACCCTCATTCGACTAGCTCAACGGCAGAATGCAACTTTCAAGCTACCCGATTTGAGAAGCCGGCGCAAGTGCCACATACTGGAGAGGACTCGTTCTCATCCAAGCAAGAGACATTTTGCGACAAGCGCTGCAACGATCTGTCTCATACGGCTTCTGGCAGCAGCTGAGGCGCTGCCGCCAGCGATGATGCTCTATCTCTAGTCTCGAGGCTGGTCACAGTGTGTATTTGCACAAAACCATTGTGCTTCGGTAGGCTCACTTGAGGCAGCTGTCATGGAGCATGGCTTAGGGCTGAATGACGGGCTCTTCAACGAGGGGTGTTTGGTATCCGTACGGGATGCCTACCTTTCTTTGAAGACATCCGGACACCTCAGTTGCAGTCCAGGCACTTCGCATGCCATGGCTTGGCCAATACAAGTCGACCATTGGGGGGGTCAATCAATACGTACCGATGCAACGTTTCCAAGTCTCTACCTAGGAGCCATCTAGAATCCTTCGTGAGCGGCACGAAGTCTTTTCCCCCTCTCGTCCCTTTCCTTCTCTGTACATTGTCCCGTCCATCTCTTCAATCAGATACCTCCGCTTGACCCAGGCTACACCCACTGCCGCGCCAGCTCCCTCACACCCACGGAGACACGCCATCGAGTGCCTACCTAGTAAGCCCCTCGCTACCATCCACTCAACCACTGTGGCTGGTCCTTTCAGAGTTGGCGGCACCAAACCCCATATCACAGCTGCTGGGAGAGGGGGAACCTATGTACCTACCGCTGTACGAAGTACAGGCTACACTGAATCTCGCAACCCTCGTCCGTGGATCGGAACGGCTCCATCTCACGGCATGGCAGAAAGCTGCACGGGCTGAGCTACCATTGCATGGCGCAAACCTGTACTCTACACGTTGAGCCCGCCCAATCCTCAACCTACCCAGCTGCCATGCTTTCGCATCTTGACCAACCTTGTCGTGCCTTTTTGCCTTTCGGCTCTGCAACACCATCTACCCTGGCGGCCGTCGATCGAGGTCTGTGGGCAAGAAACGACCATGCAAGCCAGCCAACGGCCTCGCTGACAATGGCTCTGCGCCTACGTACAAACCCCTTATTGACTTTCTATAGCGACGCGCTGTATACCGCGCAGTGTCCGGATAACACAGGCTGGAAAGACGAGACGGCACGAGACAGACGAATGGTGGTGGCGAGGCAACAAACCCTGCCCCCCCCCCCGGCCCCCCCTTGCCCTCCCCTCTCCCCTCCCCTACTCGGTTTATCTTCATCCCATCTTCCAAGAAACCATTGTTCAACAACGCGCAAAACAGGAAGTAACCATGGACACGATTGTCAAAATGGCATTGGGAGAGGCATCCTCCACGGAACAGCTGCCATGTCAAATTCCAGTCACCCAATGACTGCAAGTAAGTAATCCTGCTGCAATGACAGCCCCGGCCCAGCCACATCGCCAGATCTGCATATCTCACTTTTGGCAGCGTAGTGAATTGGCACTGAATTCGTCTCCTGCTTCCGAACTCGCACCTTGACTCTGTTGGGCAAGGCTCGACCACTGCAAGGATCCGAGCATGTTGGCAGTTCGGCTCCAAGACGGCTTCCTTTGAATTTCTACTCGTCAGATTGCCTTGGATGAGCTTGAATCGGCGTCAATCTAGGTCTTCTATTTGTAGGCAAACTCTGCTCGCACATACTCCTGTATGCGTATGCTTCGTCGGGCATGAGGCCAGGCCATCCCTGCTGGGTTCGGATGTTTACCTGCACCACACCAGCAACACAGAAGCACGCATGCATCGAGTCTTTCAACGAGCAAGTGAACGACCCCTCTCGACCAAGGTAGGCGGTAGCTCAGATATCCACCTCGGTAGCAAAGCAAGGCGGCTAAGCTGCCTCCCTTGGCGGCGCACAGAAAGTGCCGGCGGGTTCTGACTCTGCAATGGTCAGGCAATCATGCTGCAGGCCAAGAGGAAGCCAACGGGGAATTATGGTCTTTCGAGGAAGGATGGATAGGGATCTGCCTGCTTACCTGTAGACTTGTAGTTCTGTAGAAGTGGGATCTGATATCAAGCTTGGGCCGGCCGGCATGGACACGGCAACGGAATTTGATGCTCGCCGTAAGGCAGGTCGTCCGGCATCCAAACATCAGGATATGGCCCCCAATTAGGGTTCGAGAACCATGGGCCAAGGCTCAGGATAAGTACCCGCGGCGCGTGGCTCGTGGTCCATGGCCCGATCCCTCTCCGTCAGAGCAGACCTGTACTGCCGGTGCTTCGACGATGGCGGCGTTCCGTCCTGTTACCCATCTTGGGCCAGAAATAAAAGGAAGAGTAGACTGTCGGTAGGTCGAAAATCAAAAGAAAAAAGAGGGGCTCGCAGCAGCCATCCCGATGGCGCCTAGCGGCCCTTGCCACAGTTGCGGCACCCACCCCCTCTCTCCGTTGGCGTTTTGCGATGTCTCCCAGTCCTAGTGGAGGCTGCGACCGCAGTGTTTAGGTGGGATCGGAATGGGATGAGGTGCACCTCCACCCAGAGACACTGGACACCACGACACCTATCCGTAGGTGCCTAGGTAGGGTAGGTGCGGTGCAAAATGTGTACTACATGCGCCCGTGCTCCACACCCAAGCTCGTTTTCACGCCCCCTGGTCCAGCAAACACGCACCCCCCTGTGCTCATCCCCCTCCATGTGTCATCTCTTCTGATACGCGCTGGTTGAAAATGAAATAAACCAAGGCTCAGGCTCTCTGCAATTCTCCACCGTGGAAAACGGGCAACGGGCAACGTGCAACACAACACGGCTTGACCATATCCTGCTTCGCGGTCTCTCTCTCTCTCTCTCTCTCTCTCTCTCTCTCTCTCTCTCTCTCTCTCTCTCTCTCTCTCTGTGTGTGTGTGTGTGTGTGTGTGTCTGTGACTCTGACTCCTGGTGTCCGTCTGTCTGGACAGACACCAGCCTCTGTAGCTCAACCTTGAATAAACGGTTGGGCTTTTGTTTTTGCCCTCTTTCTGCGTTCCTTTTACCTCTTCTCCCGCTGGCTAGAGGTGCTCCTTTTCGTCTCTTATTCATTGGGTCCCCCGCTGTCCGGTGGCCCCTGTTTGGGCCCGGCTTGGTCAGTGAGAATGAGTCGGGCCTTGGGGTGGTTCGTCTCGTTTCCCGCGTCTCCATTCAGCATGTGCACCCCCCCCCCCCCTGCCGGGGGTTCCTTGGGATAGGGAAATAACGAGAGAAATAACAACAGCAGGGGAAGAAAAAAAACAGAATCACGTCGTCCTTCCTACACGCACGCGCACACGCACACACGCCTCCATTATAGTGGTAGTGTATGGTACCGCGGCAGCCATGGTGGAGGACTCGCAACTGAGGTGGAAGGAGGTAGGTAGCGTAGGTACTCCCACCCCCTCGTCTATCCGTACGTAGCCATTCGTACCTACACCACCTTACCATGGTCCATACCTACGTAGAGTACGCTCTTCCCGCTCCTGGGCCGCGGGTCCCAGAATCCCAGAAAAGAACAGTAGCCGTCCCTTCCACTCCCCCGTCTCTGGTCTCCCAGATCCCCCTCCTTGTCTCCCTGCTTGCCCCTTCCCCATACGCAGTACATAGTACGTATCTGTACGGTACGAACGTTCTTACATAGTACGCAGTGCTGCATCGTGCTGCAGCGCAGCACCTAGCTTCCGGTCCAGCTTCCTCTCTCTCAAGCTTGAGGTGAGCTCCAGTTCTCCAAACCATGTACGGTATACCTACATAGACGCCTCCGTGCCTGGTCCACCGTCGAACCGTCTACGCTCCTCCCGTCCAACGTCCGGACCCCAAGGACGTCGTTTGCATCCTCGTCAATGAGCTCCAGAAGAAGGACTCGACTCTGGCGGCAAGGCGTCCATCCTAAAGATCGAGTGCCATTTCTGGCTGGGGCTGGCCCTGTTCTTCATGGTACCCGGTTCCATTCTCAACCCCATGTTCAGCTCCTCGATTTCGGCCTCTCTATAACGACCTCAAGAGTCTTGGTCTTGTGCTGCCTCTGCCCCTCTACTCTCCTGTATTCTACCCTCCTCTACGTAGTACTTACTCTATAGACTATTCCCTTCCTCTATCTCGACCTCTGCAAGCCACTCCTTTTCCGCAAATTTTGCCCAAGCTGATGTGCCTGACTGACAGCAGGCGAGTCCGGCTACCTCACCGTATCAACCTCGTGCCCAGGTCCAGGCCTAGAACTAGACCCAGACCCAAATGCTGGTGCTGGATCTGCCTTACAGCTACCCGTACATCGACCGGCATTTAAATCACAGTCTCCATGACCAAATGAGGCTGGGCCCGTTCGTGGAGAGGTTTCATCACAGCACGCCCCGCTCGTTTCTATCAACACGACTGACTCTCTGCCTCTCTCGAGGTGAAGACTTGCCTTGCTTGCTTGCTTGCTTCTTTCTTCCTTAGCTCCGTCGTTGCCGCCTTCCCTTCCCTCCCCTGCCCGCCCTTCCCTGCCCTTCCCTGCCCTTCCCTGCCCTTCCCTGCCCTTCCCTGCCCTTCCCTGCCGCTGTCGCTGCCGCTAGACTCCTTCTCTTCAAGACTCAAGACTCAAGATCGAAGGCCTAGAGGCCTAGGTAGAAGACCCAAGAGGCCGTAGAGACCCTGCTTGGAGCTGGAAGTAGCTAAGCTAAGCTGAGCTAGCTACTTGGACCTAAGGTAGTTGCCTACCTCAGCTAAAAGGGACGGTGGCCACATCACCTCGTAATTACCTAGGTAGGTACCGTCCTCCGGACGTACATGTCTCTTTGAGGCACCCGACGCTAGTACATCTGAGGTACCTTCACCTTGCCTCCGTTCGCTGCTACGACGCTCCTGTACGCTCACACCTCAGCGTACCGTTACCGTCCCATTCCTTAGCCCACCTCACTTTCCCATCCTGGGTCGCCCTCCAGCTTGCACCTACCTGTAAAAAGGTTATTTCCACCACCTGCACCCCCATATCTCGATTTATCTTCCTTACCTACCTCACCTCCTTCTTCTACCTTCAGAAATCTCTCTTCCTTCCATCCGTCTGTCTGGCCAGCCAGTGACAGCAACTTTTTTGTTTACTTCTCGACCTTCATTACCTGTCCCCTTTGTCTCTTTTTTTTCTTTCCCTTGGCTGGCAAACACCACAAAATCACCAACGACGTCAACAACCCAACCACCTTGCTCCTCCACTATCAACAACGGCCTTCCCATGTTGCCGGCATTTCTCTTCAACAGCTCATAGTCACCCGGGACGAATGAGTATTACATGACCATGCTCACTGTTAAGCAGCCAACTCACTACGGCTACAAGTCCGTCCATGACCTACCAACTCCGCCTTCGACTTCCCGACCTTCGCCTCCACTGTCTTACCAAGACCACCCTTCTCACAAGCTGCTTCCCTCTATTCCCCGCAGTCACAGTCCACCTGGCCAGCCCATGTCGACGCATCATCGTGGTCTGCCTCCCCCGGCGGCCATGACTCTGCCCCCTCAACCGCCTCACTCGACTGCTGCTCCTCCTCCCCCGCCACCCCCGGCGCCTCAGCCCATCAGCCAGCCTCCGTCAACTCACAGTCATGCAATGGGCCAGTTGCCGGGCCCCCCGCCTCAGTGGCAGGGTGCCGAGGATTCCATGAGAAGTTGGTTGGCCGCCAAGACTGAGGAGGAGCGGAGAAGACAGGAGGAGGAGAAGACCAGACAGGAATCTTTGCGCCTCGAGCAGCGACGCATCGAGGCCGACATGCTGCGGACCTCTCTGAGCGGCGGAATTCCCCCACCCATCGTGCCGCTGGTCTTCGCCGGCATGGGGGGTGGTGTTTTGCCTCCGGCGGCTTTGGAATGGGCACAACAGTTCCTGAACCCTCATGGTCAGCCTCAGCATCACCAATTGCTTCCTTCTCAAGGGCCTCTGTCGCCTGATCATCGCCGTGATTCTCAGTCACAGCCATACGGGCAGTACCCTGGTGTTCCCTCGACTCCAAGCTCGGCCCCCGGGCCGCATGGGTTCACGGCATACCCAGGCTCTCCGGGAACGAGAGGCAGGGCTACGACGCTGTCCTCTACTGGCTCGATTTCTCGACCTCTCGGATCATCGAATTTGCCAAGCCTAAACACAAATGTGCCGCAGTCCGGCTCGCACGGCTCGTCGACAATGCAGAGTCACCAGGCTCACTCAACTGCCCAGTCTGCGGCAGCTCAGCAAGAGGCCCAGCCCAGCCCGTCCATTTACTTTCATCATTGGCATCCGCCCACATCTCAAGCCGGAGGAGGCTCTACACAGCCTGCGACACCCTCCGGTGCGTCCAGCAAGACCAAGAGAAAGCGAGAGTCGCTTTAGGCTAACCTCGGCTGGTGTGGCCATTAGGGGAGTCTCCTAGGAACAAGCGCAAGGCCACTGGCCCGCAACCAGCCGCTCCACCTCCTAGTCAACAGCGCCTGAGGTCGCCTCCTTTTCACGGTGGATCGACGCTTGGAAATCCCCCGCCGGGACGAAGACGAGGACATTCTCGACAACGCAGTGATCTTTCATTTTATCGGCCGGGGGGTCGAGGCCGGGGAGAGAGTTTTGGAACCCCTCGAGGCATGTCTCCGCAGGTTGCCGGCTCCGGCAGCGGACCAGACCAGGGCAGTACCGATTCGACATACTCTCAACAGCAACAGCCGGCGAGAACTATTGGCGGACATTCGGTCTCATCTCTACTCTCTGAGGAGCCATGAAATCCGCTTCAAATCGACCTGCTGAATGATATATCGATGACCAGTAAACAGGCGGCGGCAACTTTGGGGTGCGGACACGTGGAGCCGCAGGATCAGGAGCCACATGACAAGAGCGACAGCGACGTCTGGTCTCGGCCAATTTTACGACTTGTTTCAGCCATCCACCACGGCGGAATTTCGCGAAACGAGATGCATGAGTACGACATTTTCCTCCGAACTTTCGCTTCTATGAATTCAATTCGCCAACTCTTTTTACTTCTTTTTTCCTCTTCTCCCCTACGTCGTGAATCTCTCCGCGGCCCTGAACCGGGCTGGGGTTGCGGGGAGAGCTGCCGTCGACGTTTTCGAATTTTGTCCAACACTTGGATTTCTCAGAGACTTGGACTACCTCTGGATTCACCTGACGCCATTCCAGCGGATCTGGAACTGGAGGCGCACAGTTTTCTTCTCTACAAGGCACGCACGGGTCACGGCAACTTTATTTCGATTCTTCCAGCGGGCGGCATTGTCCCTTCGACGAGCCCTTGAGCGCTCTTCTCTTCATCGGGTTTTCTGCTTCGCTTCACTTCATTTCGCACCTGGTGTATTGATGTGCATTGTCAACACGGCATTATGTTTGGTTGTATCTATAGCAATCGGAGGTGGTTTATTTTTCTTCTTTTCTTCATTTATCACGGGCTGGCCAAAAAGGACCTGCCGGGTAAGGGCTCACCTGGAGGTTTTGGTGCGAGCCCATCGAGATTCAGGTTGGAGTTGTTTGGACAAATTTTTTTATCTTCTTCTGGTTCTTTCCAATTAGGGCCGACTTCTTTTGGGGGCAATCTTACATGTATCATGATACCCTGCAGAAAAAAAACAAGACAAGACGCATTTTGCAGACGGACAGACGCGTTTCAACCCCTGGACGTGTTGATACCTTATCTCGCTTGTTTGATTATCGCGCTGTGAGGGGTCAGGTATTTTGGAGCGAACGGGCCAGGAACTTGGTTAATTAGCGACGTGGAATTATCCCTCGGCCCTCCTCCACATCCCCGATAGCGAGAAAGAAAGAAAAAACAAAATCCCTGCTACGCTAGAAGCGGGAGAGAAAGTACCTCATGTTCGGACTTGGCTGGCGGTCCAGCGTTCTTGGCCGATTTGGGCTAGATGCGTCGGCCAGATTCAGAAGTGACGGTCTAGTTGGCTCAAATAGGCTCGGCGGGGAGATTGGAACAGGCAGACTCAGCCTCGGTGATGGCGCGGTGGAAGGGGTCCTGTGGAACCGGCTGTCCGTCCGCCTCCGCCGCGCCGCCTCCGCCCGCCCGCCCGTTGCCCGGCGCCCGGACGTTGACGTCCCTTCCTTCTTCGCGAAAAACTGCCCCGATAGAGTACAGAGTGCCCTGCTCGGAAGGTTGATTGAAGCGATGCAGACAGGTAGCGCGGACCAGATTGGGGACAGTGCGCCTTCCTTTGTCACCATTCCGTACGGATAGGTAGGTAGACCAGGAATAAGCAAGGTGTTGGTGTCGACAGTGGTGAGTAACCTTGGTTGATTCAGTCCGAAACATGGCAGGTCTTGCTGTCTACAGCAGCAGCGGCCAAGCCAAGCCGCCGACCCTGACGCAGCCGTATTTGTAATGAGGAATTTTGGCATTCTCCTAACTCCATTGATTCCAACCTATTTGTGCGACCTCGAAACAAAGATGAGGGACGTATCCGTAGTATTCGTGGACGAACCGATAATCAAATGATTCATCCATTGCGGCTGGGCATGTCTTAACTGTCATCCGGATATAGGGCTGGCAGACAGGGACGGCACGAGGGCGAAGCGAAGGGGGCAGGAAAGGGGGGATTGTGGCCTTGGCCAGACAGACGAATATGCTGGGACGGAGTAGGTACCTGGCGGTTAACCTCTCTCCAAGCTGAGACCGAAGCTAAGGGGGGGAGGGAAGCCACGGACGTGGGGGGTGGGGGTTGAAGGTCGACTGTAGGTGCGAATACCTCCACTGAACTTGAGGGACCTGACCCGAAGATGGGATAGGGAGGACGTGTGTCCATGGTCCACGGGCAGGCAAGCCCGGACGACAATCCACGAAGACGGGTATTCACAGGGTTGGAAGTTGGCAGTTGAGAGGGCTGGCAAGCTCCAATTTCATTTCAGTACAGGTGTTACTTCTGGAGTGGGAGCCAGGAGCGCGCGGTGACACCTACCTACCTACCTACCTACCTACCTTAGCTTAGGTAGTACCTTACTACCTACCTGAGGTAAAGGTGGTAGGTAAGGTCCAGGGTAGGATCCATGGATGGCTGTGCGCTTGGGGCGTCTGTGCACAAGGCGCTTAAGTGGCGTGTAACGGTGTAAGCCTTTGGTGTCATGACCTCCCTCCTCTTCTCCATCCTCTCCCATCCAACAAAGATTTCCATGTCATGCTGCCAACGTGTCTGCATCTGCATCCCCTGCGGCAATGATCCTCGGCGGATAGCGCATACCCACCGTGGCCATTCCCTTTCCGGGAAGCAATTGCTGAATGACTGACTGCACTGCATCGGCAAAGTTCGCTCCTGTACCCTATTGACAACCCGTCGGCGCGGCGCGCCGTTTCCTATTCTTCAACCCGCCAGCGGCCGTCACTGCTAGGCTTGTGGCTTGCTGTCAAAGAGGCTCAATCCTCCTATCTCGGGACCGAGATGGGAGGATCTTACCCGGCTGACGATGATGCGGCTGACCGGGCTTGAATCTATGCACAATGTCTAGCGTTGCCCAGGCGAGTTTGTATTTGTGGCGCACTTCCGGCGTCGTGGCAATGGCCACTTATTCATTCCCGCCCGTTCCCCCAATGGTCTTTGTGTGTGTGTGTGTGTGTGTGTGTGTGTGTGTGTGTGTGTGTGTGTGTGTGTGTGTGTGTATCGCTTCACCTCCGTAATGGGTCTCTTGGAGCGTAGTTTGATGCAATGCGCCACTCTTTCACATCGTCTTATAACCGAGTGCTCGATTGGGATTGTCTGTTACTTTTGACATGGAATGTTAGCGAGGCCGAGATTAAAAAGGGCCAATACTAACATGTCCCACATTCCTCCCACACGATCTCGCCCTCGGGGACTGCAAGCCGCGTCCCGGTTGAGAAACCTCCGGCCAAGGGAGCTCATGCCGGTCGGTGATGACAAGGAGGGGTGGCGACGGCCTAAGCACCCGGCATGTTGGATATAGCTTACGACTGGCGGCACATGGTTGGGCAAGGCCATGTCACCGTCACCTCCGGACGCGCATGGTCCTCCGGGTCTTGCAGGTAGCTCGGGGTCCAGAAGCTGAAACAGTCGATGTCTGCCGGGTGTGTTCTCAATTGGGGCTCCGGATAGGTCAACTCCCATGCTGACCTTGGTTAGGGTGTGTCGATTAGGGCAATTGCAGCTCGACATGAGATGTGACATTCAATTGATGGCATTGACATGACGATGGCGACTAAATACGCTGACGGGACGGCACTGTAAGGTTCATCGGCCAATCCCTTGCGTGCAAGCCACATGTCAGAGGCGGGGTGCGCAGAAAACGACAGCGGTTCCAACAGTGACAATGCAGCCGACGACAAGAGGTTGAGAAGAGATAGAACACCGTATTCCGCTGCGCCGCTCTCCCCCGAGCGTTTCTGAAGCATGTCTTCATCTGTTGTAGCAGCTTGCACGGATGTTCTGGATGAATCCTCATTTTCGCCCACAATGTCAAAAGACCAAATGATGCAATCGTATTTGTGGTCGTGACCCGTGACCTGCTAGCAATAAGCCGGAAAATTCAAAGGGTGATGTTCTCGAGATCACCCGGGGTATTTGCCAACGCGTGTTACACGCCGACTTATGTGGTGTACTACGGACACCGTCCGAGGTGAATTACAAGAGAAAGATGTTCGATGTTAGGCATGTCGGTGTGAACATAATACTGTCTGTGACTTGTCCTGGTATTCTAGTATGTATTGCTCTTTCCTTTTCCTTTCACTAAGGCTGAAGAGACTGAATCTAAGACAAATGAGGACTGGATTAGTAGATGGGCCGGTGATGACCAGCGAATACCCGGTGTCGTATGTTTCAACTTTAACACTGTTTACCTTTTGTTTGATCGTGCTGTCTGGTGAAGGGGTGCGGTTTTCTCCTTTGATTGGGAGTGCCTCTCAAGGACCATATTCCCGCTCGAACTTTCACATCCTTGACTAGATAGATGCTGAGAGTATTCAGTGCTCATAGCGATCAGGCTGGCGGCTCGCGAACTATGGATTGGGAGACTGGCTTGCAGTATCCTCGTGGAGACAAATGTTTACAGGATATCGGCAAAAATGTGAACTGTGACTTAAGGACAGGAGCAAATCCGGCATTGAAATGCAAATGTTCTCCATCGGCTGGCCACACCGCCCACATACGTCGCCTTGCCGAAATGTCACGAACTCGTTGCTGAGTTCAGAAGTGGCGGCTGGCCTTTCATTGCCCGGCCCAGCAGCCGTGTACATCATTTGATGGTTTGCTGTAGTCCTCGACTGGGCCATGGCATTTTATTAATCGTGATTGTTGATTACATTCAGTGCGAGGCTCGCAGAGAAAGGGAAGCGAGTTGAGCAGACGCTTCTGATCGGAATGCTTTTCAGTCCAGCGTTGTTCGACATCAACATGTTCATGGCAGACCCCTACAATACAATATACACTGGCATGGAGGGATGTTTTGTCAGAACTATATTTGAGTCGTCCCGTGAGGATGCCAATGAGGCACGCGTCATATCAGTAGACGTAAGCCCACCGTGTCTTCGACCCGCACTCCTTTTCTCATTGAGACAAATCCAGAAAAAGGCCAGATCATATCGCTCAGCCTAGATCAACTCAAGTCCCCAACAGCGGGGGGGGGATTCACGTGAGCCTCTCCGCCGGAGACGGGGCGCACAGTCGGGACATACTCACTGCGGGTTGCAACACCCCGCAAAACAAGATAGAAGGTTCCTCACTGCCCGTATTTCTATTTCTGGACAGGAATTGAGATCAGAACTTCGGGGAGATAGAGATCAGCCACCAACTCGTACGATAAATCCACAGTGGTATATGTAGATCGACACCTCCCAAGATAAGCCTCTCTTTAAGTCAGGAACTACCTTTGACACGCCATTCCAGATTTCCCGCTAGACGAACGACTATGATGAAGGAGAAACTGCTGGTGGAAACGGGGGCACTAGATACCGCAGCATAAACACTGGTCGTGGATCGTGCAGGCTTCAAAGGTCGGGTGGCTGCTTGACTCGCCGCAGCTGGAGACGGGCAGAATGGAGCGAGCAGAATAAATCGTGCTGACCCTACGCGGAACATGGCCGCGTTCCATCGGGCTTTGGGGGGAAATAAATTGATGCGCTTAGCACTCTTATCACACGAGGGTATGGGCCCGGCATAGCAGGGGGGCATTGCAAACATTGGTACGGCGGGTAATACATTATACATTGTTGTTGATACTTCGGGCAGATGTCACCCAAAAGTATACTATCTCATAAGGGTATATGAAAAATTCGTCCTGTGTTCCATGGCCTCCTGCATCGCTTTGGAGAGCAATCGCTTCCAATCTCCCCGTATAGTGCTTTCGTCTCACTAACAAATGAGATCCTCCGTGTCTGAAGAAACCAACGTTTGAATCCCGGGGTATTTGTCGACGAAATGCGTCGAGGTCATCCTGACCAGCTCCGTGAACGCCTTGCAAGAACATCCATAAACGCGAACCGAAAGACATAACAAAACGTCAGCATATCGTAGCCTGGCTTCCAAGCTTGTGTGCCAGAGAAAGGCCACTCTAGGGTCTCTTCTTCTGGCGCTTCCACTCCGCCCGCGTCACCTTCATCAACAGATCCTCGTCCTTGACGGGAATCCATGATGTCAACGCCTTCATGGCGTTCTCAAAATCCGAGTCCAAGAGGACTTCTCGTAAAGCGTGTATCAGAGCTGCGCTGGTAGCATGAAGAACATCGATGCCGGTCATGGTGACTGGCGAATCGGGAACCTTCGTGGCTGATGTATCAGGGTTCTCGCCGAGAAGCAGAAATACGTCCCATACACGAAGCTGGGCAGCAAACGGTATGGACAGATTGAAAAGTGTCAAGTACCATCGAGTGCCGTAAGCTGTAGGATCGATGCAGAGCTCCGTCTGTTCCATATTAGTACCGAGTCACATGGCGAAGGGGAATGATGATGTCTTACTAGCTTCTTGGCGACGTCCTTGCCGCTCAGCCACTTAGTCTGCAGGTCGCTCAACGCTGCCATTAAACCGTCAAAGCCAGGACTGTATAATTTTTCCAGTCCTCTCAACTGCCACATACGGACCAGCATGACGAAACACTTCTCCTCATCGAAGTAGCAGAGCAAGGTTGCCGCCAGCGAGGCCATGCCCTGAACATAGCCGGTGTTTGGAAAGTAGAGTGACAAGGCATGCAAAACTCGAAACAGAAGTCGTTGCCCCCCCGTGTAGCGCTTCCGGAACATGACATGCCGACTGATGGTGCGAGGCACGTCCAGATCGATCTGTACGTCGTCTGGGGAGCCACGGCACTGAAGTCGGTGGAAGTCGGTGATGATCGAGTCTTCTGACGGCGAGTCTCTATGGGCTCTTGCTGCCGATGCCATAAAAGAAAACCACGCAGAGGCTCTCCATCGATCAGGAATGCCCTTCCAGGTCCTGTCGATAAGTTTTTGGTTTTTGACGTCAAAATCGAATTCCATGCCCTCACCATCCTTCCCTTTCTTGATGACCTTGGCCATCTTCCGCCATTTCTCGGATCTCTCCCATTCTTTCCTCTTGATGGCCTCGGAGATCTTTTCAATGTTTTCCTCGTCTCCCAAGGAAAGCGAGAGCATGCCTCCAGCCTCGTCCATCCACCGTCGGTCACGATTGTGGGGGAGTAAATTACCCGCATGCCTAATTGCTGAACGAGTTGACCGACGAGATGCAACCGACGCCTTGGAGGTTTGGGTGTTGAGCGACCTTGCGGACACCTTCCTATTCGGCCCCCTAAGTGGCAAACCCAAACCAAACGGATCTCGCTTCAAGATATTCCTCTTCTTAGGCGCGTGCTGCGATGATTTAAGGTCGGTGGGGGTGCCCACTCTCGCCTCAGGTTTGCGTGGGTTGATGAAACCGTACCGATCGACGTCATAGCCATTGAGGTCCTCCCAATCTTCGAAACCACCTGCCACCTCATATTCGCTTCTTGTTTCGGGACGTTGGGAATATGAACTTCCAGATCTTGGAGTACCCCATGCGGGAGGTTGGAGCTCGGCGACCCTAGGAGAGAAACGAAAGTTAGCACACTGTTGTCAACACTAATGTGGAAAAAGGAAACCATACGGATCGTTCTCGGTCTCGTCCGTCGGATTTTCGGGGCTTGCATCCAACTGCTCGCCCACATCCGACGGTCGTCCGCCGTCTTCCCAATTGATGCTATCGCCAGATGCATAGAGCGATCTCACCTTTCGAGATTCCAACTCCACGTCAGCGGAGAGGACGCGGATACTTGGTGTTTTCATCGCGGCTTGCGATGTCGAATCCACGGTTGTCTGTGCAGCGCTTGGGTCTGCGGTAGTTGCCTCGATCGTCGTCTCGGTCATCGTCTCAGCAGCGCTCGCATCAATGACTTCCGCCGCGTTGAGTTCGGGTGCACTGTGTGCGTTGGACTCGGTAGGCTCCATCATTGGGGCCTCGCTCGACGGAACTTCATTCGGTATGGGTTCCTTGGAAGCAGCCTCGTTCGCGAAGGGCTCCCTCATGCTGGCGACAGCGCTCTGGAGTGGTTCCTCGTATTTAATGTGGAGGATAGGAGGCGCAGGCTCAGATGCAGGAGTCGGGGGTGATGCAGAAGCTGGAGCGTGGACATCATCCGTTTGCGACTTGGCTTCCATTGTTCCGTCGGTTGTTTGTGCGGGGAAAGCACGGCGACCGCCAAACATAATACTGCCACGATTGGAGAAGGAGAGGGTCGTCAGGAAATCATCGTCGAGCAGACTGACGGTGGGGATGGAGATTGAAATGGGGGAGAAGTCGGTGGCATCCTTGCTCAGGAGGTTGAAGTCGTCTGGGATGTTGACAGGGGAGAGATTAGGCGACTTATCAGAGGCTGTAAAAGAGGAGCCCCGCGCCGGGGTGATCATTGGCTGCGTGGCAGGTGATAGGTCGGCTAGACTCTTGTCCCGCAACTCAACCGGAGACTCTACCGACAAGGTGCTGCTAAAGCTGCCAGACAACTTACGTTCAGCGATTTGGAGTTGCGCAAGATGATAATGGTCCATGGCGATGGACATTTGCGCAGCTGTCCGCGTGCATCGGCCAGCTAAAGGCCGTTTGGCTACTGAAGGGTCCTCGGTGGAATAAAAGGATTCGCTGTCGCAGATGGAGGGTGTTATGAGCTTTTGTCGTTGCACAACGTGGCCAGCAACAATCAAGGCGTCGATTTTGTCGTACGCGTGATCCTGGTCCTCGCACTCCTCGACGATTGTGGCCCCAGACGAAGCAGTGGGTGCAAGGCCGGAATCCCTCTTCCAATCGTTGTCGGCAGCGGGCACACGGGGACGAAAGGCAGGGTGCTGTTCGATTGCTGGAGGAGGAGTAACGACGACGGGACTGATGGGCGGACTTGGAAGAGACGAAGTTGCAGAACGGCAGGTTCGACGCGTCGAGATGGATAGAGATCTCCGGGGGAGGCGCGTAAGAATAGGAATAGGAGGCTCTGCCTGGACCGTCTTTTCGTAGCGGACGGCGATGAGGCTAGTATCGTCCTTGAAGGGAACGAGCGTAGGCCGGGCTTTCAGGCGCACGCTTGTGGACTTTTGGGGGGCCATGGCGTAGTACTCAGGGTGCTCCGGCCGGGCGCGAGTGGCCAGATGGAGACGATCCGCCCGTGCTCGCTCGTAAACGGAGCCGGGGTCTTGAGTACCGGCGTGGGATTGGAGCTCCCTCAGCGGTCGGTGGTACGCCGGTGGGAGCACAGCAGGTCCAGAGATGGACTGGACGGGCGGCCAAGGCGGGTGTTGTGACGGCGTAAGTGGAGGTAAGTGGCTCGCGGTCCAGAGCTCGGAGAGCCGTTGAGCGTTGGATTCAGGTGTGCCAATTTCGAGCCCTCGAGGTTAGACAGTGGCGCTAGCCTAATGTGGGAACAGAGAGTCCTCGGAGGGATGGATGAGATGCTGAGATGCGAGAGCTATTCGGGCGACGATCCAAGAGGGACGGAAAAGAAGAGAGGGTGACCTATCGGGCACCGAGCAGGGGTCGTGATATGGCAGCGTGGCGCTGGATGGCGTCGTTCAAAGCGAGAGAGCAGCCGGGGAGTAGGCGGTGATGTGTGTAAGTGGCTGCAAGATTGTGCAGGCACGACACAGTCAAACGGCGGAAGGATCAAAAAGAATCGGGACTGTGGTCTGGAGTTGGTTAATTGATTGCATGGAGGCAGGGGGGAGTGAATAGGAAGAATGGGAAAATAACATCGAGCGGGAAGGTGTGATGAGGTAGGTAGGTAAGGTAAGGTAGGTAGGTACCTTGTGCGGCGAACTTGGTGAGGGCCAAAGAGTGCTGGCATTGGCTTGGTGGTGATATACAAAACGCTGGCTTGGCTGGCGCAAAGAAGGACATGCAATTGCTTCGGAAGGAGGCGGGGAAAAGGTCAGGAAAGACACGAGGGAGACTGGAAGCTCGAGGTTGGGTATTTCTTGTCTTTTGCTTCCACGACTGATGGGTTTCGAGGCGGCCCAGCCCTGTCCAAGATGTCCACCTCAGTTCTACCTTTGGTAAGGTGCCTATGTTGCAGAGCAGGAAGCGGTGGAAGCAACAGCCGCAACAGCCCGGCACCACAATCTGCACGCACTCACACCTGTTGCTCTCACACGCACAGCAAACCATGGATGGACGACAAGGACATCATCATCAGAGGCGGTCGGGGGAACCCTGTCACGCTGCAGCCAACTTCCCAGATTGGCTGGAGATCCACGATCCGCCCCGTTCCCATTGGCTTGTCGTGGGAATCGTGCCCTACCACTTGTTTTCTGGTTGACAATGTCCAGTGGTCGACGGGAGTGAGTGGGTGTCGTCGTCCTCTGAACGAGCCTCCACTGTCCTGTCCCTGTCCGTCTTCCCGTGCCATCCATCCCAACAACGCAACGCAACGCAACGCAACATAGCCAGGCACAGGAGATTGAAAAAAAGAGAGAAGAGGCGCGCACCAGAAAGAAAAGTGCAGACAGACCGGCCAGGCCTGGGTGACGGACAGCCACATGATGGGAGCGAGCGCCCATACGCAACGCAGCGACAATCAATCCACCCACGACCAGCCACATCTTCAATCGTTCCCATGCCACGCACCTCAAACGCTTTCTGATAGGCTCATTGGCTTGAACCCCCGGCCCGTCTCCCGCCATCTGGCCATGCATCAGTACCCGAAGCAGGGCTTCTCTATGGCAGCCGACCAGAAAAGACCCTCTCCATTCCCTCGTCGTCATCGCTACGCATTGAGTCGGTGAAGGTCACCCTGCAACCGATACCGCTACTCGGGGTCATTCAACGCACAAAGCCCACCTTTCTGCATATCGGCCTCCGCAACACTTCTTCATGACCGCCGAATTCACCGCGACAACATCTCCGGACGCGATACGCGAGCGTACGCCATAATTGCGCCCCGACGCTGGTCATGTTCAACCTCCTCTCTCGCTAACCCGCCGTTGCGAACGCCTATCCATAATCTGCCCCGGCCCGGCCCCAATCTGCTCCATCCGCCTTACACAGCAACGGCCGCCCGACGCAGCCGGAAACTATCGTTACACATGTCTCTTCAAAGCGACCGCCGAATCTTGGACTTACCTGTCTTTGTGTTAGCAGCCTGCTGCTCTTCGTACACAGCGCAGCTCCCCTTCCCAGCGCCAAACCCTTCAATCTAATCACGACATGCCAGCAACCGTCGTCCCACGCATCACCCATTAATTGGCTGTCGCTCGGTCTGCAAACGCTCTCGTGGCCCTGCCCTCCCGTCCAATCTTGTCTAAATTTCGAAAAGAATGCGAACCCAGTCCGGGGACCGTCAGATATGTCCTCGTCATCCAAACCACACGCGGGTTGCAGAATCACGGGACCCTTCTGATCGGCGCTAACCCTTCTGCTTCGTCTGATCTGAATGCCAAAAGAGATTTGTCTCACTCAGCTTATCATATTGGCCCTCTATTGACTCACACGTCTTTACCGCCTGTTCGGGATGGTGAGCGGAAGCTAGTTTCTCCCGAACGGGAGGCTTCCCAGGGCAGGGTTTACGTGCCCATCCCCGAGCTCTTGCCGTCGAGCATATGCTTGCGCGATGCCTTGTCATCAACGTTCTTGCTGGGACGCTAGCACCGGATCCAAACCTTTGTCGGTCATATCGAACCACCCCCAGTCAACACAGTTAATTTTTCGCCCCAGCAGTTCGTGCGCCACTCGAACGTGCTTGGTTGGAGTAGGAAAGACAGCCATTTCCCTAGTTTGTTGAGCAACTTCAACCACTTTCAATAACGGACCTCTGCTTTGCTTATGTCCCTATTCCTATGCCACTCTCTATTCCCATCTAACTAACAATACTCGTTTCTACCCCCTCTGCCTTTCTAGTAGCAAATTTCACGGAAGCCAGAGATATGGCGCAAAAATCCCAGGAACAGTGACTGCAGACTTTGCCCCCTTCTTCTTCCTCTTTAGCGCCCTCCATACCAACCAACCAGCCATAGCCATAGGTTTGAATGACAGTAGATTAGAGCAAACCTGGATGCTTCCTGCTTGTCCCCGGAGCCACAAACGACCCAAACAGCTGGCAGTCGTGGTCTGGCATTTGCGCCATATGCATGTGACAGTGTGCACACTTCTTGAGACCACTGGTGCAAGAATCTGACGTGGCAGGAGGCCAGACCCTTTTGGGGTTTAGATCGGGGTCTTCCCGACCTTTCTAGCGCCGCATCGGGTTCGGCTGGCTGTTTGCCGGCTGGAACATCCTTCCAGGGTCCTCTCCACCCATCCTCGTCTCCCACGTTCTCGGGTCGTCCCACGCAGGAATGTGCCCTAAGACTCTGAGGGCCTATGCTAGGGGGGCGTTTTCAACCCGGGGGATTTCCAACAACAGGCCTTGGAGGCATTAGCGGGATAGATGAGGAGTGGGTGCTTGGCCATCACGAACTTTTCACACCAGCAGACGACTTAGCAAACTCCAGGCCATCCGTTGACTTGCGTGACTGCTAAGGCAACTCAATGTGGTGGTTCTCGCACCGACCACGGGGGCATAGCCGAAAAAGAAGTTGAAAAGAACGCACCCACCTCTTCCACCCCAGAGGGCGGTCGAACCGTTACGGAGTAAACGGGGCGTTCTGGGGCCACAGGAACCACACGGGAACCACATCCCAAGGTGAGTCAACTACGTCGCGAGCATTAAGAAGTTGGAGAAAACGAGACTAAATAGCTCAATGACCTTGGCATAGAGCGAACCCGTCCCCCTCTTTCATCGTGGGCAGTCCAGGCAGGCTATTCCGTTTTGCTCAGCTTCGACTTTGAGTGTACACGTTCATCCACACTCCTACCTTCGCACCGCTGGTTACTTATGCCGCTTCCCTGAAGGTCATCTTCCGTCCAATATGCAGACCAAGGAGGAGAGAAATGTAACCCTTTGGTGCCGTCCCATGCTCAATGAGGATTTTCGAAAAAACCATTGCCTCAATAGAATGCCTGTTTGCCCCTTGCAAACGCGCTGTGTGAGCCGTCTCTGCGTGTCATTGAATCAATCGCTATGCTGGTTGGCGGTTTCCCATACATCGCACCGCCTGTCGCAGAAATTTGCAGCGCCACCCGAAACGTCTCCAATTGCGTGGTTTCCTGAATTCCACTAGGCGCGGCTTCATGTCGCCACTAACCACTTGCACATAAATGCCGCAAAAAATAAGTGATCTTCCGTCTCGAGGGTAATTAGCATCGAACGGCTTCTTCAAACCTCCTCATTCTCCCAATCCTTTTCACTGAACATTGGTCCCTTGCGTGCGCCGCTAGCCTCAAGTTTCGAGAGGAACTCGGGCGGAACGGAAGGAATGTATTTGCGCGCCCGCTCCCTGTTGACACCTCCGAAGCCTGCCCCATACGAGACCAGCATGTCCGTTACGGATGGCAGCGTGAATGGTAGCATCAAGGCCGGATCCATGAGGAGATTCTCCGGCACATCCTCGTCTTCCTCTTCACTCTCATTTCCACCTGGGCTCTTGTCCGCCTTGCCAACGGTGTTGTCCGCATTACCACCATTTGCATCTTTCGCCTTGACCGGCGTTGAAGGGGCGCTCTTGCGGTCTTCCTTTCTGCGCACATGCTCTGCTTGAATCGCGTTGAGATACTTGAGGGCGCTCTTCGGTAGTCCCTTCTCGCCGACTTCTGGCCTGTAATGTTGCGCTGCGTGGATCAGCTGTTGTGGGCTTAGCCGCTTGAGCTGTTGCAGTGTGCCCACGAGAGCCTCGAGGTCGTCGGCACCGAGTGAAGAAAAGCACTGCAGCCATTGCAGAAGCTGAATGACAGGCGCAAGATGCCGCCTCGCCGCGTCCACCGTCGTTTCGCCAGAGGACTTCGTCTCGCCTCCTTCGTAGTGCTCGGGTTGTCGATTGTTGGTTCTAGCCCAGTCCTCCAGCGTCGAGACGTTCATCCGAATTTGCATCGCTTTCGTCCGCGCAAGGTACTTTCTGTTAGACATTATGCGGTTGAAAAGCTCTGCTCCAAGCCAATATAGCAACTGCGAGACAATCTGCGCTGTGATAACTGAATGGATGTCGTAAAGATCCAGCACAAACAAAGTGGATGACAGCAG